CAAGAATTATTTAACCATCACTAATCAATTATTTCCAGCTATGCTTAAAAAGACTAAAGTAATAATAAGGAAATGGAACAATGGTAGAATCACCTAGAAGAAGACAGTACTAGTAAAATAAATCATCACTGTTACATAATCCTTCAGTTTCCATATAGCATTGCTCAAAGTATTGCATCATCTTTCAAGAAGGTATAAAAGTCTGGAGACACCACCATTAAAGTCTTTTGTTTTAGACTTTCAAGGAACACAGTTGAGAGTTTAGAAGTTTTCATTTTAATCATAATGGCAAGTAGAAGAAAATTAATACAAGGATTTTTACAATTATTAAAGGAATCAGATTTTTACAATTATTAAAGGTGGATGCAAAGAGACAGAAGACAATACTCTAGATTTTAATGATATTGATGAAATTGACCATGTAAACAAAACCTCAGACCTTGAGTCTACAGATGCATATTCTAAAGAGTTTTCTCAAACTCGAATGGATGAGTGAACCATATATTTCTAAGGACAACAAGGAAATACAGTATTTTCAGGCATTTACTCAATAGAAAGGGGTTCATCATGCAATATTTTATGACAAGCGACTGGATCATCTAATTCTGCTAAATGGACAGTGTGGCTGTATTCTTTCACCTTTTATGATGTTTAGCCACCAAAACTTACTTGATATAGTTCCTAAGTTGAAAAATTCTGAAAACAGCTATGTATACAAAGGTGACTGAAAGGAAATAAATGATGTAGAAATGAAAAAAATATATTGAACTGGTCATTCTAATTGGTGCTTATAAATCCAAAAATTAAAATGTTTTCCAGTAATTGCCATCCTTCTTAAACAAAATTATGCCATCAAAGTTTTTTTTAAAGTATTACATTTTGGTGATGCAAGTGCAAGAAGAACCAGAAGTAATGATAAGCTAGAACCTAATAAAAATGTATTTGAAATTGGGAGTCACTATTCACAAGATGAATATGTTCCAGGTTCATTCATAACAGGTGATGAGCAGTTAGTTACATTCAACCGACACTGCCCACTTCAAGGATATATAATTTTTTTATTTTTTTTTT